GATTTTAAGCTTATTTAGCGTTTAAACAATTCTAGTGTGCTCATTTTCTTGCTCTCTCTCTCTACACACACACAAATTTTGTGTTATGCTTTCCCCCACACTTATCAACACATCTTTATAATCTCTTCATATAAGTAACACAAAGAACCTTCTCATTTATATCTGCATGGTATCCACTGCGGGAACATACATACCATCACATATTTACTTACTCTTCTTAAATGACAGACATTTAAGCTATTTCCAGCCTTTTACTATTATCTGCATGGTTGTTGTAAATAATTATGTATACGTGTCATTTCTCATGTGTGAGTATATCTTAAGATACGTTTGGAAGTAGGTCACAATGCACATAGATTTGTGACTCGGATAGATTTGACAAAGTCGCCCTCCATGGAGGTCGTACCAATTTACGCTCACTTGTCCTGTGTCAGAGTGTCTGTGTCCACACATCCTTGTGAACACATTGTGTTACCAAACTTTTTGTTCTTTACTAATCTTAAAGCTGAAAAATATCTCAAATTGGTTTAATTTGTATCAGTTACTATCAGGTTTAGCATAAACTTTTGTTTAAGAAACTCTTATACTGCTGTTTTCTATGAATTTTCTGTTCATATCATGTTTCTATTTTTTTCTACTGAATTTTTTCCTTATAGACGTCCCCAAAAACCAGTATTGTGGAAGTAAGCTTTTTGTCAAATAAACCACAAACCTTTCCCTTTTCTTTTGAATTACTGTGGTTGGTATATATATTTTTTATAGTTGACTTCATCATTGTTTTCATATGGCTTCCCTGTTTCGCACACTACTTAGACTTTCTCTACTTAAATATATTCTCCTAGCCACCTTGTCACCAGGCATGATCTCATTTTTAAAGATTATGAAATATTTCAACATATTAAAACGTGGAGTAATATATTTTTAAAAAACATATACTCATCACCAAAATTAATAAATGTTAATATTTTGCTATCTGCTCTAGATGTTTACTTTTTAAAATAAAATGAGGATAGTTCCCTTTGAATGTCTCCCCAGTACACATCCCTCCCCTGCCCCCAAGAACCACTTTCAAGAAGTTGGCTGGTGTGTGGCCTTCTGGTCTTGGTCAGATTCCTTAATTTTGAGAACAGAGAACCCCCTCCTCCCCTAGCCAGTTGAAGCAGAAGGGATTTATCAGTGGAAGGACTGAAGAAACAGAGTCTTGCCTGAGTTTCCCAGAAAGTCTCCCTAAAACCATGCTTCAGGGCTGGGCTGGGCTGTGTGGCCAAGTCCGCTGTTGTGGCCCCGGAACCCTCCTGCTTCTACCACAGTCGGAACTCCTCCACTGTAGCCACTGGCATGGGAAGCCGTTTCTGACGCGCAAAACGTAGGCCTCTGTGTTCTTCTCTCCCTTTCTGTCTCATTTCTAAATCAAGAATCTTGTGCAGTTGCATCTGACAGGTGACCCTAAATTAGATACGGAAATGTCGGTGCAAGGGAGTTTGGCGGGAAAGCTTTTGGCTCTCTAGTTTGTGTGTACACCAGGATCTTAGTGTTGCACAAGCCAATTCACCATATTTGTAAACTTACTCAACATTTTAATGTTCCTACCATTACTTTTTCCATGAACAACAGGGTATTGTTTTGGGTATTCAAAAAAATTTATGCGAATGGTGTCCTATTGCAATTTAGCCTTTTCATTCTTGTTCTTACACTTTTCCGCAGTTGACATCTGTACTCTACTTCATTCTTTTTAACTGCTGTGCATAGTACATGTATCAGTTATTTGTTAGTGTGCAGTACGTTAAAGTTGGCTGGCTTAACAAAACATTGAGTATCTGGATTTCTGTGGGTACGATCCAAGTGTGGATCCCTAGTTGTCTGGCTCAGGGTCTCTCCTAAGGCTGTAATCAAGGTGTCTGCTGGGCTGCGGTCCCATCTGAAGGCCCGCTGTGGCAGAATCTGCTTCCAACACACTCGTGTTGTTGCTGGCAGCATGACTCCTTTGCATCATGGTTGTGGGCTAGAGGATACCCTCACTTTCTTGCCACATGGGCTTCTCCAAGGAGCAGCTCACAACAGAGTAGCTTGCCTCATCAGAGCAAGCAAATAAGAACAAGAGGGTGTGGGTAAGATGGATATCACTATCTGTAATGAGTTGAAGTATTCACCAAAATTCAGATCCCCTAGAACCCCAGGATGGGGCCTTATTTGGAAAGAGAGTCTTTGCAGATGGAATTAATTAAGGATTGTGAGCTGGAATGTTTGAAATCCGAGTGGGCCCTAAATGACTGGTGTCCTTATGAGATGTCATACAGATACATAGAGGCCACATGAAGATGGAGGCAGAAATTGGAAGGATGCATCTACTTAGCCAAGAAATGCTAAGGATTGCTGGCAATTACCAAGAGCTAGGAGAAAGGCATGGGATGGTTCCACCCTTAGAACTTACATAGGGAACCACTTTGTCGACAGCTTGATCGCAGATTTCTGGTCGCCAGAACTATGAGAAAATAAATTTCTGCTGTTTTAAGCTACCCATTTGTGGTCACTTGTTAGGGCAGCCCTAGGAAATGAGCATATTATCTTTTGTAGCCACATCTTGGAAGTGTCACACCATCATTTTTGCCATACATTATTGGTTAGAAGCAAACTACCAGGTCCATCCCAAAGTTGTGGATACCAGGAGGCAGGGACCATTGGGAGATATGGTCTACCACAATATACCACAGTCTGAGTATGAAGTCACAATCTCTTTATCCATTCTACTCCTAAGGACATTTAGACTGTTGCTACTTTTTCACTGTGACAAAATCCTAGTGTGATGATCCTTAAATACATCATTTTGTGCACACTGGCAAATTTCTCTAGGATCTAGAAGTAAAATTGCTGAATTGAGGAACTTTAGTGGATATTTCCAAATTGCTTTCCACTGTGGTTCTTACCTTCCTACACGGAACTTTGAAAGTTCACATTTTCTCATCCTCTCATCAACACTTGGTATTGTCAGATGCTAAAAACTTGTTAATCTGAAGGGTATAAAATACTTTGGTTTTTTGCCCTTACAGACTTCTAGGCATTCTTTACATATTTTGCATATGAATTTGTTACTTCTGTAGGTCATCCCTCATCCGTGGCATGGTTTCTAGCATGACTTATGTATTTTGTCATATAGAATTTTTAACTTGTAGATAATTTATTTGTGTGCTTTCTAAAGGCTTTGGTGTCCTTTTAGGAATGTTTCCATAGTCCCATGTCAACAGGTAATTTTTCACCTACAGATCTTTAATCTAGTATTGATTATGTAGATGCTGTGTGCTTATATTTGTACTTATTTCTGTCATTGTCTTATTCATAGTTTATTTTTCCATTTATCTCTTACAGGTTGCATTAGGTACATTTTCTTTTTTTAATTTATTTTTTTAAAAGATTTACTTGCGAGTGCGTGAGAGAGAATGTGCAAGTGGGGGGAAGGGGCAGAGGGAGAATCTCAAGCAGACTCTGCGCTGAGCACAGAGCCTGATGCAGGGCTTGATCTCATGACCCTGAGATCATGACCTGAGCTGAAACCAAGTCTGACGTTCAACTGACTGAGCCACCCAGATTTGTCCTGTTACCTTTTATTTCTTCACTTAGCTTCTAGTGCTTTTAAATTCCATATTCTTTTATTCCTTTGACAATTTCCCTTAACTTTTAGGTAATCATATTGAAAGTCTATAATAAACATCTCTTTTGTCCTCTGCAACATTTAACTTATCCTCTCATATACCTGCCCCTTCCTGATGATACATCACTATTATTTTTGCCCCACTCAGTATACTTAATTAGCCTTGCCCAGATATTTACCAATTTCTTTGTTTACTGTTGCTTTCATAACCTACCTCTTTCTTCTGGACTCATTTTATAGAAGTATATCTTTCAACATTTCTTTCCACAGGAGTCTGTTTATAATTAACTGTGTGCATGTCTAAAATTGTACTCCACAACTTCACTCTTGATAGTTTTGTTGGGTATGTGATTCTAGGCTGACAGTTTCCTTGCATATTTTGAAGAGGTTATTCCTTAGTCTTCTGGCTGCGGTCACTGAGAAGTCTGACAGCGGTCTAACACCAGTTCCCTTGTAAGTGATCAGTCTTTTCTCACAACTGTTAGGTTTTCCTCTTGGAGCTCCACACTATGTTGTGTAGATGGGTTTTGTTTTTCCTACTTAGGGTTCAGTGCACCCTTTAAATCTGAGGGTGTGTGTCTCTCAAACCCTGAGGGACTCCCGGGCTTTTTTTGGATAGTGCCTCTCCCACTTATTCTGGATTTCCTAATTTAGACATATTTTGAAGCATTTCATTCAACCTTCTGTATTTTAATTTTGCTTTAATTTTAAACCTCTGTGCTGCTGGGCTGTAACTTCAAGTCTTCCAGTTTACCACTTCTCTCTTACGTCCGGCCTTCTGTTAAATCTCTGCAGGAGTTTTCTGTTTGTTTCAATGACTATATTCTTCATATCTAGAATGTCTATTAGATTATTTCTCAAATCTACCTATTTTTAAAACTACCTTGGTTTACCTATGGTTTCTATTGCTGCTTTTCTCTCTTGAAACATGTTAGGCATACTCTTCTTAAAGTTTCTTTTGGATTATTGTGGTGGTCTGGGCGGTGCAGATTCTAGATATCGCATGCACTGCTCTCTCTACTTCATGATGGTTGAGTTGCTCATGGAAGTCATTTCCTTTTCTTTCCTGGCACGGAGAGGAGAGGAGAGGGCTTTCTCCCACCTCGGTCTACAATGACCAAGCTAGGTCAAATGTCTTCACACAGGAAGAGGGGTCTTTGTTTCCTTAGAAAAAGGGACTCCTGAGGAGCCAGCCCTGACAGCTTTAAATGGGTACCAAGCAGTGAGAAGTTTTCAACATATTCATCTGTCTTTTTGTGACCTTGAAAAAGTCATTTAACTGTTAATCTTCTCTGTAATATAAAGGTATCTTATTTTAAGTATTATAAGACTCCAATGAAAAGGTGACACATGATTTCTTAAAAACAAATAGTTTAATTTCATTTTTATCTGGGGAAAAATACAACTTTAAAATGAAATGACAAGCACTTTGACATATTATCATGTGTCATTTTTTACGGTACTACACTTATTCAAAACATGAAGATACAGAACTTTATAAATTTCTGGAATCAAAGATTCCCACCTCAGATGAAAACAGATTGGTTATAAAATGTCAGCTCACTAAATAGTCCATTTTTGTTCTTTCATAGGGAGTATCTTGTAGAAACACTATAAAATAAGGCAGATTTTTGGGAATTCAATTATTTTAGGAAAAAGGTGTTAGGTCTGAGTTTCGTTGACTTTGGGGAGTCACTGGCAAAGCCCATCAGATGACCAGAGTTTCAGAACTCTGCTTCCTGTACGGAGGAGGTGCTCTCCTGGAGGGCTTTACACTCAGAGCCTCCCAAAGACCGCTTTTCCCAACTAGCATCAATCAGAAAAGAGTCTAACATACACAAATATTTCTGTAGTGCAGTAAAAATGTGTCATTTTATAGTTTTAATTTGCATTATGAAAATAAGTCTGTACACCAAGTAATACATATTTAATGAATATGAATTATGTAAATTTGGTCATGGCATTTAAAGTTGGCTTTGGCTTTGAAGTATTTCAAAATTCATAGAAAATATTGAACTTCTAATAAAATAAATAAAACATTTTAATAATTGATATTAATCAACTTCAAAATTTCTTTGTATTTAATAATCAACTTCAAAATTTTTGTATTTTTCATTTGCTACTCAGTTTCAAAAGAGAAGTCACTTTCAGTAGTGTTCCAAAGTGAGTGATTGCACCTTCTATGATGTGAAAAAGTTCCTAAAGCTCCGATTGCCATGAGCTGTTTGTAAGTGCTGGACACAGTTGAGAGAAATTGTTTGCAACAAGACATTCTCTGTCACTGGGAGGAAATCCATCAGTGTCCTTTGGAGGGTCCCTCTGAGCTCATGATAAGGAAAGTTAGTGCAAACTGGTTCTCCTGGGACTTTCCTAAAGAGCCCCTGCTGCACGCCCAATATGGCGGACTGGGTCGCACTTTGCGGCAATGGCATCGGATGGTGGCTGCAGAAGGTCATCGATGCCCCGTGTGCTTTCACAGGCTCTGCAGACCTGGGCACTGTTCTGCCTAATACTGAAAGGATCCAGGAACCCTGGCTGCCCTCAGGAATTCCAAATGAGTGGAGGGACAAAGCTTCGGGGCCCAGGCGGTGTGACGCACTATTCCGGGGGCGGTCGGAGGCTCCGCAGCTTCATTTCATCCAGTCCTTTCCAGTATTTAAAGTTGTTGTCAAGATGCTGCATTAACTCAGGCAGGTCTACAAAGGCTGGACAAAAAGGACAGGAATGTGATCTCCTTCCCAGTCTCAGATGAGAAGCCCGGGCTGCCTAAGGAGAGGGTATTTTGAGGAAGGATCCGTGGCGGCAAACATCTGCGTCCTGCCACACAAACGCACCCGCCGTGCAGGTGCAGTGAGCGCAGGCTCACGGGAGCTGACAACGCCGGCAGGTGCCGGAGGGGAGGGAATCTGCTGGAGCATTTCATCAGCTCCTGGGGGGAGGGGCTGCTGGGAAGGCAGTGAGCCCCCCACCGATGGCCCTGACCGGCTCTCCGGCCCCCGCCCCCCAGCTTCGGACTCCACACGGGCTTCACTTACACCACGTCCTCGCGGGCAGGGGGTGGGGGGGAAAGCCACGAGCCAGGAAGCACGCAGGGCCGGGGTGGCTGAAGCCGTGAGCAGGGGAGGGGGCAGGAAGGGCACCCAGGCTTCGGGGGTCCTCGAGGAAGGCAGAGTTCTCCTCCTCAGTCCTCCTTGAGGGTCGAAGCCCCCAAACCCATTCTAGAGCCAGCTACACTATTAACATGCGGCTGCCCCTTTCGTTCTGGGAGAGGCCTTACCATCCCAGGCATCGAACATGTCTGTGATGAAGTAGTCAATGAAGGAGATCTGGGATTTGGGGATGCTGCAGGTGTTTCTGTCAAAAACTGGCATCACCACAGGTAAGTCCTGCCGCTTCTCCTCATCAGTCTGTAAAGCAGAAAATGCCCGAATTAGGAGACTCCAGTATCTGGCTCTGCTCACCCGGGAGCTCGTGGGGAGCAGTGACCACCGCTCGAGCCAAAGACCCGGCTCTGCCCCAGACAGCAAGTGTGCCCGGAGTGGGGCGGCTCCGTGCCAGGGGGGCCTGATGACCCCCTGCCCAGCTCTCCTTTCCGACACCTGGAAGCTTCTTGCCGAAGCTTGTGATCCCAAGCAGCCTGTGTAGCCCGCGAACACGCTCGGCTGCTCGTCACACCCCGGCCCCCCACCCCGCAAGCGTTTCCAGCGCCAGGCCCGCAACGGTGGGAAAGAAAGCGCCGCTTCACAAAGAAGGATCGAGGGGCTGCTTCTCGCTTCAAGTCCGTTACCTTATTTGAAAAAGTTCTAAACACCCTTGAGATCCTTGGGGGGGGGGGGGGAAAGCTCTGAGACGAGCAGTTTTTATGTCCTTTAGTCAGACTCTTCCAGACAGCTTTGCAAAAAAACGAAAATAAACCTGCCTTTTCCCCCAGATCTTAATTTTATCTTGAAGAGATAAGGGAGCTCCTTTTTAAAAATAAGGTCTTGGGGCACCTGGGTGGCTCAGTCGTTAAGCGTCTGCCTTCGGCTCAGGTCATGATCCCAGGGTCCTGGGATCGAGCCCCGCATCAGGCTCTCGAGAGCCTGCTTCTCCCTCTCCCACTCCCTCTGCTTGTATTCCCTTTCTTGCTTTCTCTGTCAAATAAATAAAATCTTTAAAAAAAAAAAAAAAGTCTTGCTTTCACCAAAGTGTCCTGGAGAAAGGGTGAGGGGATGTCCGCAGTGAGGCACGAGGGTCACCGGTCACATGGGGTCGGGGGGGGCACGAGCTCCGGGGGCAGCTCAAAAGGAAACGTGAGGGGGCTGGTGACCGAAGGCACTGGGGCGTGCCCCCCATCCCCCTACCCCAGGTTCGGGCACCTGGGTCATCATTCCCGACCGTCCGAGCAGCTCGCCAGAGCCTGGGGTGCCGGCGGCCGGGCCAGGTGAGGCGAGGAAGGAGAGCGCAGGGGCTGCTCGACACGGAGGGAGGGGCCGCAGGGAGGGCGCGCGCAGGGGCGCCGTAGGGGTGCAGCGGGGAGAGCGGGCACAGTGACCTGGCACGGCCTTCGCCACAGGACCTGCTGGTGGGAGCACGTGCAGCGAGAACCCAGGGCCGAGGGTGCCTGGCGGTGGGGGCTGGGTGGCAGGGCTGCTCGAACAGAGGGCGGGCCCGGGGAGCGGCCGGCTAGGCCAAGGGCTCAGGTGTTCAGCAAGACCAAAGAAAGAAAACAACTCCCGGGGCGGGGAGCTGGTCCCCACCCCCGCCACTCTTGCCCTTGTACTGGTCCCGGGGGCAAACCGCGGCCCTGGCCCTGGCCCTCGCCGCACAACCCTCCCTGACCACTGACCGGGAGCAGCGTCCTGTCCCGCGGTCTCTGCGGACACCGGACCATCGCTGGCCTCGCTGCTCTGCACACGGGCGGCTCTGAGCCCCCAGGCCCGGCGAGAAGAGCGCCCCCCCACTTTCCCTGGAAGGGGGTCACTCCCCCAGCTCTCCGCTGGATGCTCCTCGGAAGGGACGGGGCCCAGCACTCCCGAGAGGCACCGAGGCTGCTGCGGATGCTGCTGGGAGCGGGCCCGGGAGCGGGGCCGAGGAGGAGGCCGGCGCTCCCGGCAGCACCAAGAGCCGAGGCTGCTCCAGGCGGTGCAGAGGGCAGGCTGGGGGGCGGGGGCGGCTAGGGACCGCCAGCAAGGGTCGGCTTCTGCTGGCTGGGGAAAGGTATGCGTCAGGCCACAGGCTGGCAGCTGTCCCGACGCGCCTGGTGCCGCGTGTACGGGAAGGAGCAGGCAGAGCGGGTAGAGCCTCAGGTTCACGGCCTGACGGGGCTGTCTGGCTTGGGGAGCTGGGCCCCGGGGCGGGGGGGCTCTCCTGACATTCTCTCTCGGGCTCTGCGGGACACCGAACCCGCTCTCAAGGCAGCCAAGGCAGAGGCTCCCTCAGTCCAGCTTCTGTGGCTCCGGTGCCCGTTCTGTCCCTGCTGCCCTCTCTGCCTGTACACGGGAGTGGCTGGCCCACTGGAGATCAGAGAGACCCTCATACTCCAGGTCCTCTTGGGCCCAGTGTGACAGGTGCATGGAACTTCTTCCAGGGCCCTTAGGCTCTTCTGGAGACGGTTTTCCCATGAGATTCAAAATGGTAGAAAACATCATGGTGTCTTGACTCACCCTCGACCTCCCCCCGCACTCTGCAGCCCCGGCACAGTCTTGGTCTGGAAACAGCAACCCTATTCCCAGCTGCTTCCCTTGAACTGGAGGGACTAGAGCTAATCTTATTTGCAAAATTCTAACCCGTCTGACGGCCGCCCAAAGGGCTGGTCTCTGTTTCACCTAACTCCGCTCTCTAGGGCAAAATCAATGGCTGGTGCTTGGGAAAGTGCATGGGGTTTACAGACCCACAGATGCTGGGGGCAAGACGTTATGGATGGAGACCTCCAGTAGTGTAAGGCCCCAAGGAGAAGCTGGGAGGACTTGGACAGTACACATTCAAAAGCAGCTGCATATGCAGCAGAACTGAGAGGGCCACACATGGGCCCAGGAACGACTTGTGCAGAAACGACGTGAGGTGAACTGCTGCCTTCACATGGGGCTAATCCTGGAGCTTGGAGAGAGCCTGGCTCATTAGTGAAGGACTTCCCCGGCACAAAGCAAACTGCAAAGACTGAAAGATATGTTCCCTCTACCCCACCCCCCGCCCCCGACCAGAACAAAGACTGTGAGAGGTGGGTCGTTCCCCCCACCCCCATGTACAATTTTCAACATAAGGCCAAAGAAAAAGGAGAGAACAGCCTATCCAAAAGAAGAAAATAAGGCAGCAGTAGCCACCCCTGAAGAACACAGGCACTGGACTTACTAAACAAAGACTAAAATAATCATCTTACAGATGCTCAAAGAGCTAAAGGAAAACACGACAAAGGGCTAAAGGAAATCAGGAAACTGATATAGGAACCAAGTAAGAATAGCAAAAAGAGAAAGAAATTATAAAAAGGACCCAAATAGAATTCTGGAGCTGAAAAATACAAAGAAAGATTTGAAAAATTCACTAGAGAGATTCAACAGCAGCTGTAAGCAGGTGGAAGAAAAAAAAAATCAACAAGTCAGAAGACAGGGCATTTGAAATTCTCAAGTCTGAGGAGGCGAAAGAAAAAAGACATGAAGAAAAGTGACAAGAGCCTGAGGGACTTACAGGACATTATCAAAGGGACCAATATATGCATTATCAGAGTCCTGTCGAGAAAGGGGCAGAGGCTATTTGAAGAAATAGCCCTAAACGGCCATCACTTGAAGAAAGACCTAAATCTATAAAACCAAGAAGCTAAACAACTCCAAATAAACCCCAAAAGAACCATACTGGGACACATTATAACCAAACCGTCAAAAGCCAAAAACAAAGACTCTTAAAAGCAGCAAGAGAAAACGGACTTGTTACAAGAAATTCTCTGTAAGATGCTCGGCTGATTTCTCAGGAGAAGCCTTGGAGGCCGGTAAGCAAGGAAAGAAATGATGTAAAGGACTAGAAGACAAACCTGTCAACTGAGAATTCTTTATCCGGCAAAACTGTTCTTCAAAAACGAGGGAGAAATGAAGGTACTCCCAGATAAACAGAAGCAGAGAGGACTCATTAGCACTGGGTCTGGCTTACGGGAAATGCTAGAGGGAGTCTGTCAGGTTGAAGGAAAAAGAAGCCAGACAGTAACTCCAGGTCATATGAAGATGTGACAATCTCCAGCAAAGGTAAACATAAAGGCAAATATCAAAGCAATATTACTTTAATTTTGGTTTGTAATTCCATTGTACTCTGTAGGATTTAAAAGACATGCATATGAATTACACACATTAATGGGTATATAATGTATCAATATGTCATCTGTGACATCAAAGTGGGGTGGGGGGACAGAGATCTACAAGAGTTTGTATATATGACTGAAGCTGGTATCAATTTAAAATAAATTGCTTAACTTTAAGGTGGTATATGTACTATGCTAACTGCAAAAAACAAACAAACAAAAAATCCAAAATATTTACACACAGAAGGAAGTGAGGTGATCAAATGTGTGCTACAAAAAAATCAAACACAAGGGCAGGCAGTAATGGGGAAAAGGAGGGACAAAAAAGCTGTAAGACATCAAGAAAACAAAATGGCAAAAGTAAGTCCTTCTTCATCGGTAAATATCTTAAATGTAAATGGTTTAAACTCCCCAATCAAAAGGCATAGGTGGCAGAATGGACAAAATCCTGTTCCAACTATATATTGTCTACCAAAGACTTTCTATCAGATATCAAGACAGAAATAGGTTGAAGGAATGGGAAAAGGTATTCCATGAAATAACCGAGAAAGCTGAGGTGGTTATTCTACTATCAGACAAAATAGACTTTTAAGTCAAAAACAGACATAGAGGAGGACATTATGTATTGATAAACAGGTTAATTTACCATGAAGAAGCAACAATTACAAGCCTATATACACCAAACATCAGAGCTCCAAAATACATGAAGAAAACACAGAACTGGAGGGAGAAACAGACACTTCTATAATAATAGTTGGAGACTTCAATTCTACACTTTGGATAATGGATAAAACAGCTAGATCAATAAGGGATCGAGGACTTGAATAATAAAAACCAATGGGACCTCAGAGACATTAAGAGAATATTCATCTAACAACACTTAAGATACATAATTTTTCTCAAGCATAAGTGGAACATTCTCCAAGATAAAATGTATGTTAGGCCACAAAACAAGTCTTAATAAATATTTTAAAGATTAGAATCAGACAAAGTACTTATTCTACTTGGAATGAAACTGGAAATCAACAGGAAGTAACCTGCAAAATTCACAAGTATGTGGGAATCAAATACTCTTAAACAACCAAGAGGCCAAAGAAGAAATCACACGGAAAATGATAAAATACCTTGAGGCAAACAGAAATG